CCTGTTCTCCCAAATCACTCCAAAATGCCTGCTTTTTGGAGCAATCATAGCAGGCAGGCAAAGGGCTGGCCAGGGAGGGCTCGGGAGCTGTAGGACCATTTGCCACATGTACTCTCCCTCGCATGGCTTTCAGACACGAAGCCTCGTCGTTACGTGAATCCGATCCATATCTTCTGCCACTCTTCATTCATGTTTGGAATTGCATCCCTCTTAATAGCATTAATCTCTCCAGAATTTTTTCCGTGACTTCAGGATAGCGGTCAGCCAAACAGCAGCTGGATGCCACGAGTAGTCCCAGGTTGGTTATTTTGCCAGTGCTAAAACGTGTATGTTCAGGAGTACAGAAAGAAATAGTGACAGCAGTGACAATTTGAGGCAGTTTTGTCTTTCACTTATTACAGACTTTATTTCTTAAAGTGCAGCATCAGTTGAAGCAGAATGCTAAAAAGAAAGTAGCCATACTGCAAGAATGATGCGCTGAGATAAAGCTCTAATTTAGCAGACACCAAAGTACAGCTTGCTTTTGTGAGACTTTTTCCCCCACCCAACTTTTGGCTCCCAGGCTCACTGGACATGTGCTTCTTTGCAGGCTGGAGCTGATCATTGCTATCCAACCATTGCAACTCAGGTTATTCAGGTCTTTGCAGAGATTCTGTATTTCTGTTTGCAAAAGATCATTGCCTCTATGATGGGTGCTATAGAGACTGGACCAACAAAACTGTGTATAAGGCCAACAAAATAGCTGTTAAATGAACAAGTGTCTCAGTGAGGAAGGCTCCAAAATCCTGATTTTTATCCAACCAAAATTACTACGTTTGCTTATGGAGGAGCTGGTGGTTGGTTCCCATTTGGTTACAATTTACATCTAGTTGGCAGCATGCAGGTGGAGAGAAGCCAAGTTTTATATCAAGATGACTGTTTGGTAACAGATGTCTAATGTTTCCCAACACATTTAGTTCATGTGATAGGAATCATGAGCTGGTTTAGTAAAGCTGAGCAGTTGGGTGATTAACAAACCTTTGCACCCATCATTTTCTCTTCTATTCTTTTTAGCTGCCTGGTTATGATGCTTCTGATTTTTTTTTTTTTTTTTTCATTTATAGTTTTGGGAAGGAGAGCTTAAAATCTATTTCAAAGCAATCATTGTCCTGTCAAGCAATTGCTTATTTAAATGGTTGGAAATTTCCAGCAGTGCAGAAAGCCACGTTTTCCTCTCCTGCTCTGCATAACAGGCGTTGCCTTCGACACCAGTGCTGCTTTTTCAAAGTAAAGGACATGTGGACAACAGTATTTAGTCATGATCTCCCTGAGAACTCTTCTTTCTCACATGTAATGGCTGTTCACACTGAAGATGAGCCAACATCAAGTCCTTTTAATCAGTGACTCCTTAAGTGTATTTGTATTATTTGGAGAGAGAGGAACAGTGGTCCCACACCCCAGCTCTTCCATAGGAGAACAGTTCTCCTATTCTCTTCAGTTCTCATTGCAAACTATTGTTTGAATGAGATTTCAGCAGTTATCACTGTCACTCAGATTTGCAGGAAACCTTGCAGAAGAGCTTGGTGGACTTAGCATGATGCTCACATGTGACCTCACTGTGATCATTTCCTCCTCTCTGCTGTTCTCAGCAATTCCCAGTGGGAAAGATACTTCTCCTGTTAACTGCAGGAGGAAACTGTGAGCCCTGGTCAGACTGGTTCTTCCATAGGGTAGGCTACAAAACACTGTTTATGTTATACAGAAGAGTCCCATTAAGAGTGGGAGCTGATAGCTTGCTCTTCTGAAAATCACAGCCTTCATTTTAAACGCTCTTTACTAAAGGAGAGCAGGCACTTTGCAAAGATACTGTGAAACTGGCTTTTTTGTGTTTGTGTGTGTGTGTGTATGCAATTAATGTAGGAATTTAAATTAGGAATATTTTCCATCACCGACTCATCCAGAGATCAAAAAACCATTAATTTCTTTTCTCTCTGACAAATTTCGAATTACCTTTATGTGGCTGATTATTTAGAATATTTAGAATGAGCCTTGCTCATTAGACTTCTGAGTACCAGATGGGAAGAGACCATGGCATCTGCAAAGCAGTGCCCAGAGTGAATATGCCCTGACCTGACACACAGATATTTTTCCTACAAAATGCTGTGTTATTTCCCCATTGGTGTGCAGGTGTGGTCAGACCTTCCCTGCCATTCATCCTATCTCTATTATGTTCCCAGGGAATATGCCAAACATCCTCTGAGTGTAGCAGGTCTGAGCATATTCCTATAGACACACCAATATTTTGGGGGAATTTCTGTATTTCTTTGCACTGCTCTCCTAATGTTTTGTAGGTTAAAATTAAGATATCCCTTATATTTTTTCCTAGATTTTTATAAAGGACGTGCTACAAAGCCCTGGTAGTTTTTGTTTAGAGAGTGATGTGCTCAAATGAACAGTTCAATACATATTCTAAGTTTTAGGATGTGGATTGTGCTCTGCTGTTTCACTTATTTGATGACTTGAGAGTATTCAAACTTGGAAACTAATTATTTAAGGGACTGAAGAGATTTACTCCTAAGCTTTCCGTGACTGAAGTATGTCACTCCTGTTTGTTAGTCTGTAGGAGTTTGATTTGAAAGGGGACTTTGACCTTTGTTGCTGGGGATAAAACAGAATTCAGCTGTGACTGCCATTAGTAAGCGTGTGAAGGGCTTGCATGCTTGATTTCACACTTTTTCACTGTGTAATTTTTGAATTTCTTTTGTTTCCAAGACGCCTAGAAAACCGCATCCAATTTGTTTTGTAGGCTTCAGTGCCTTGGCATTTCCAGGGGAACTGGTGAAACTTGCAGGGACTGGAGTTAGCATCCTGCTTGCCCTGCCAGTACAAGGGCACATTTTACCTACTTTTGTCCTATAACAACACACAATGTGTGTTGTGCATCATCTTTGTACAGCCATTACTCAGGATAATTTTCCTCCTTCCTTCCTGTATTTGGAGACCTTAGCCCTTCTGACATGCTGCTGTTTTGCACGTGCCATCTTCTTCTTGCTCAGCATTGAGCAATCCTCACGGCTTGCCCAGCAGAGAAGATGGGGTGGCTGGCTCCCTACCTCCCTGAGCACGAAGGATGCCTTCCTCTAGCATCCCAAGCCCTGAGCGAATTTAACACTGCTTTTTTGACCAGCAGTTGTTCTGCTGTTGCATGGAAATTTTCCAAGCTGGGATTTCATCTTTCTAGCAATTATAAATCATTTGAAGTATTTAACTGGTCAGGAAAGCAAAAGATAACTCATACGCTGTCTATACATTCAGCATGAAAATTAGATCAGATCTCATTGCACTGTCACCCCTAAAATGATGTGTCTTTTGTGATTCAGAAGGGAACATACCAATGTGTCTTTCACTCAGCAGTGCTTCTTTCAGCTCTGGGTTTAATATGCAGGCACCTCATGATCAGAGTGAAGTGATCAATAAGCAGCTGTGGCATTCAAGGTTATCCCAAGTTCATAGCAGGCTCGGAGCTGATTACTTTCCAAAATCGGATGCGGTCAGGCTGCTGTGGTCACAGGAGCAAGGTCACAGAGGGGATCTGGTGACAGTATAAATAATAAAGCAGAGCTTATCTAGTTTGTTGACAGTACCCCACCCCCCACGGGATAAAACTCTGCTTTACTACATTGTTTTGCAGGCTTTTCTGGGTGATCTCTCACCTTCTGTGACACCTCTCTTCGTTTTTCTCTTTCACCGCAAATGTTTTTTCTCACTTTCTCCCCCGGTGCCATTTCAGTTGTAAATAGAATAAAGAAGTTGTTTGGAAGGGAGTTAAGTCAGCAAATCAATGCCATCCCATTACTGAATTAGATCAGAGACAGACACGATGGATCAAATGCATTAAAAAGACAAGTAGCTCGTGGCTGACCCTACGATATTTTATCTTTGCTCGAGCATTTATCATTGCTCAAGTGAAGCGTTTGGCTGAAATAGTGGATTACGACCTGTTAATTGCAAGATAATATGCTAAAGATAAATACGGAAAGCTGCATTTGCAAGCCCCTTTCCACCTTCCATGCCTCTCTTCATGATACCATCAGTGCTCTTTTCCCATACAAGTCTGTGTCACTGATAAGCCAAAGGTTGTACATGCCCGGGGACTCCTCCGGCAGCTGAATGTCAAACTTTATGGAGTGGGTGGATCATCCATTTCCCTTCCGAGCTTTTCTAAAAATACCACAAACCTTGACAAGGAGCTATTTTTGAGGAATCATATTCATGAGGATAGTCATGGGAAGCTTATTTTGGCAGGCTTGCATGTGTTGCATTTGCATGCTTCCCTAGTTAAGAACTTTGTGAACTTCTGTTACGAGCCAGTTGCACATGAGCTAAAGAGTGAGCATCTGGATTTTGGGACCTCCTGGGCTGGAATTTCTACTCCAAGTTGAGCTTATAGGAGGAAAAGAAGTGAAGATATCCTTGTAGGAATGTTAATATGTGACTGAAGTCATTCATTTCAGGCATTTGCACACCAGCCCTCAGCTTATCGGATCTGATTTCATAAAACCTGGCTGTGATTTCTCTCCAGGGACCTTAATGATCTTGCCACTTTCAATAAACATTTATAGAAAGTACTGCCGGCCTGTGGATAACAGAAACTCGTACGAGAGACTTTTCTTCCAAAAATACTCAAAAAAAGTGCCAACCTTCTCTTCGCCAGAAGATCAGTATGTCAAAATGTAGTGTTTGTCGGGTAGCTGGAGCTGAATTGCAGTACCAGATATGTGCACTGTAGGCATGCAGTAGGTACGTTTGCTTCTCTCACTTTGCAAACCGTGCAAATCGGAGTTATGCTCTAATTGGGACCAGTGAAATGACGAGCGTGAATAAAAGCAAACTCTAAGAGATAAGATGGAAATAAAGCAGGTAAACGCTGTTCCACACTCATGCCATGCGGGTACAGTATTGCGCAGTACTCATGTTTGCACCTCTAAGAAATTTCCATTTTTTCGCATAAAAAAATCCAGATATGAAGCCGAAGCTGCCTTCTTCGCCAACCTGAAACTGTCTGATTTCAACATCATTGACACCCTTGGAGTCGGAGGTTTCGGACGAGTTGAACTGGTAGGTAACCTTTTCTTCTCTGAATTTTGTGTGTCCTGGAACCAGTGCTGTGTTATGAGTGCTTTTTTTTTTGCTCTTCATGATTACACCAGAATTCCTGGAAGAGAACTGTGTGACAGGATTCTGTGTTTTGTAATGGTTGAAGAATGCTACATCATATTTCTGGGTAGATACAATTGAGTGAACAGTCTGCAGTGATCGTGAAAAATCTATTTGTTCATTTTAGGAGAGAGGAGTACGTGTCTTTTCTCTCCAAGTGGTCATACATTGAAGCAGAACTGTTTATGACATTGGCTTCCATTTGACAAGAACCTGAACAGTCATACAGTGTTAAAATAGAAAGAGAAACCTAAAATCTTATGTAGCCAAAACTGGAATAATTGTCTGATGTTCCTCTGAGCAGTTTCTAATTCAGGTCTAGATGTAGATCTACAAAAGCTGTAGCTTCAATGTCTGAACTGTAATAACAATTCATAGCAAAATGTTCTTTGCTGAATTTTAGTGGAAAGGCAAAAACTGAGCTTGCTTTTTTGCTCTGCTTGGATTTAGAGCTATACAGTCTTCATTAAAGCAAAAAGTCTGAGCAGGAGGAGACCGTAAAGGCAGCCGCTATGTGCCCACTTATAATCTAACATAAAAACAGAAATTTATTACAGAAAAGAAGGAGCTTAGTTTCCATCAGCCTGCTAACCAAGGAGGAGTTTCTGATACTGAACAGCAGTACCGTGTGTTAGGATCTCCTGTAAGTTAAAGGCAGAAAAGTGAGCAGTTATTGCTACCATCACAAAATTCACTGGAAGTCCTTGCTCTGCAATTGTATGGGAGCCTGAAGTACTTTTTAATGTTGTGCCCTTAGTGCTGAGATCTGGAAAACCTGCAAATTAAGTGTTTTGGTAATTACTCCTGATGTGATGGGTAAATTCTATGTTAAAAGTTCAACTCAGTCTTCTGTGTGATTAATTTCTAACTTTTCCTATTTGGTTTTATGTAAAACAATGCAGAAGAGAGGACATCAGTGAGAGCTTTGATTTCTCCCTGGGTTTTTGCTTTCCTTTATCATCTGTTCATTGATTTAATATTAACAACTGTTTTTTGGAAGGCAGTCACCAGAGCTCATGCCCTTTCCCTGCTCCTTCTATAGCCATCTGCTGCCGAGGCCACTTCAGAGCAGGAGTTTAATTCAGGTTGCTCTGAACCTCCCTCCTGAAGGCCCTTCCACATCATAAAGCTCAGGAGATTTGTTTCCTAAGTTAGCAACACCATCAGCTTCTCAACCCCACTTAACCTGTAACGAGGGACCCAATGCTGTGGGGTTTGTTTTGCAGCTCGGGATGGAGCTTGCTAGGTGTATTTTCATTTCTAGCTTTTATTTTGGAGGTGTATTGTCAAGCTTTGAGTACGGCAGGGGAAGATGCATGAGGTTGTTACCACGAGAGGTTGCTCCAGGAACCCTAAAGCCACACAGATGTGAAAATTGGATTGTGTTAGTGTTGGTCATGAGTCCTCTTCCTCGGGCTGTAGTCAGACTTAATTTAAGCTCTAAGGTGCTGTCAAAAAGTAAATAGGATGAATGTAATGAACACGTTGTCACTTCAACTTATCAAATCAGAATCTGGTAGAAATACTTACATTTAGAGATATTTCCAAATATCAGAAGCCCCCAAGAAGCCCTAACACCACCAACAAAACGGGAAAGTGGGAGAAACATTCCCTACATCACCTTTGTAGGAGTTTCTAAGGTCGAGTTAACCATCCCTTGACCCTGCTCTTAGAAGCAGGGGAATGCTATTAGGTCATTTTCTGGGCAAATTATAAGTACACCAGTGAATCAGACAGAGCCTCCAGCCTTCTCATCAGCTTAAAGCACTCCCCATATTGGTCTCCTGTTGTCACTTTGTTGGTGGCACTGAAGCTGCTGACGCGGAGCGGTGACAGTTGTTCCCTGCATTGTGATCCTACCACGTGCAGGAGGAGAGGACAGAAATAGAAAAGTTTTCCTTTGGGAAAGGTGTTTTGGTAATCAAGAGAAAGGAAATGGGGAAGAGGAAGATGTAAAAGTATCAAAAGGCTTCTGTGGGTACTGCTGTAGTGAGTGTGAGAAAAACATGCACTTAGTCACTAGGAGCGACGGTATGGAGAGAGAACCTTAGATTACAGTTCGTGAGATTTTAGTTACTCAGGAAAAAAGATGGATTACATCACTAAACAGTCCTATCCTTCTGCTAAAGAGACTGTAGCTGTTCCTAACGAATAGTGAATTACACACAGAAGGATGCAAATATTGAAAAGCTTAGCTTAACGCTCTGGATTTCATTATTTTTCTTCATTACCAAGAAAAGCTATTTTAATACTCTCTTGGCTTTAAAAAACTAATTGCCTTTCTGAATTACTGTTTCAGTGCTGAGTGAGGTCATCATGTTATCAAAGCAAGAAACTCTTATTTTCATCAAAACTAAGCCTAGAATTGCTAGCTCTCACAGCGTACATCTTTGTACAATTTTGTACACTTTGTGTACAGAAAATATTCGTTATGGCTCAAGACTATAAATGAACTCATGTAAATGTGGTGCAGGACCTGACTCTTTTATTCCCCGAGTGTGTTAGTGCACAGCACTGCTGGAATTTGTTCCTGGGAAACACTCCAATTTCTTACACTTTTCAAGAGTAAAATTGATCAAATTAACCAAGTGCATTTTAGGGAGGAGGATTTTTATAGCTCCACCTTGGCTGCTGTATGCAAGCCCCTGGGCATCTGCATACCCTTGAAGCTGGTGGTGTCTGGCTGTAAGCTGGAATGTCTGGGCTTTGCTTTGCTGGCCAGGGCCAAACAATGCTCCCATTTGCCTGCGTTTTAGTGCTCAGGTGTGGTTTGTGTAAATAGGCTTTGGTATTCCGGGCACCACTGTGAATGCTGTCTGTCTTCAGAATTCATCCCATCAGTGAATTTATATGCTGGTACGTGTTTTTTTAAGCCAGACAGTGTTATTTAAGCAATTTTCAATTATGTGGAGATGACACTCGGAAATATCTTTTCGTCTTGATTTTATTCCTCTAATAGAAAGCTTGTTCCTATGGTCTCTTGTGGTGGCCAGTAAGCACATCTCTTCTGGGACCTTTTCTAGGTCATTTTACTTTCTGCATATTCCCAGCAGCTTTGCATTGCTGCTGTATGTAGTTGGCTGGGATTTTTCATAGCTATCTGCTGCCTCTATGACATGCCTTGTCCTTACAGATGTTGTTTAGTTGTAGAACAATAAACTGTTGTTCTGCACCTTCCTCTGCAGCTGGACTTTGCCACAGCTTCAGGCAGCTTTGAGAGCCCACAGCCTGCCTGGGCTGCCTGGTGCCACATTCCTGGGGCAGCCCTCCTGCGTTTCCATCCATAGCACAGCAGAAGGGAAATAATAGGACTGGGATCCTTGGTTTTCATAGCATGGATTAACTGAGGGCATCCACTATTTTTTCCTACTCGTCTTCTGAGCAGCATCAGCTGAATATCTTCTATGTTGAGGTCTGGACACCTCAATAACTCATGATAGTAATGAATGAATTTATTGTCTCAGATTTGTGTCCTGTGAAGCACCATGTTGCAGAGCATGGAGATGTAGGTCAGGTGGTCTCAGCCTTCATAAATCATCTCTCCTGGACTTTATTGCTCTTGTCTTTGTTCTTTAATTTCCTTTTAATGTAAGCCTTATATTTCTAATCATCTGTTCCACATCAGGTGTTTTGGATTTAAATCAAGATTATATTAGACAGCTCTGAAATAAATGTATCAGGGTGTCTGAATGTACGGGGTTAGAGTCATTACTGCTCAGAAATCAGTTCGTATAGGTGATGGCTGAGCATGGGTAGCCTAAAAATCAGCCCAGGCCTGCAGCCATGTCTTGCTTCTATTGACGTGCTCAGTTATTGCTTCGAGCAATCGCTCAGATGGAGGAAGGAGATTTTAAATTGCTCCTGTTATTACAAAAGTGCACAAATCATATGGTTCTTCCACACCCAATCACACGGCTCGGGGCATTCTGAAAGCAATGGTGGGAAGTGACAGACTGAGGATGAGTCCAGCACTTAGCTCTGACTTGACAGAACATCTCAGACATTCAAATGTTCAGCGGTGTTGCAGAAGTCAGTGGCATTTCCAGCATATATTTCAGGCTGGAAGGGACCTAAAGGGATTACCTGTAATCCGGTGGCACAATCAAACACATCCAACCAGTCTTCAGTAATATGTCATTGAAAGTCTGTAGGAAATGAGGTTCCCAAAGCAAGTTATCCCAGTTCCTACCCATTCCTTGCTGCAAGAAGAGCCTCTTTGCCATTTAACACCTCCCAGCTGTAGCCAGCCTAAGTTGTTTTTATCTCAAGCAGACTCGGAGGCAGTTTCTTCTCTTTCCTTGCAGTATGGTTGTATATATTTGAAGACTTCTCACATGAATGCTATCACGTAAGACTGTTACCACTGAAATATTCTTCTTTAGGAAAAATAAGTGTCCTTCTTTTGAGTTTCACCAGTAATTCACGCTTTCTGGGACAGCAGTCATCATGTTTACTCACTCCTTTAGAAGTACCCCAAACTGAGTGCTTTTATCTAACATGGGCCTTCGCATGGTCAGGTCACACAGGACAGCTGCAACAAAGCGCCTGTGCTGTGACTGAATCGTGTCCCTTTTATTTCAAGCCATCACTGCAATTTGTAAAATTTAAATTGAATTCCCTTGCTCTTCACTAAAGCACTTACCGTCCTCTCTGGCTTGGCTTTAGTACGTGCAAAGCTAATAATATTCTTCTTATTTTATTACCCAAGCCATTAATGAAAGCAGTTAATGGTGCTGTATACTAGACAGATGCCTTTGAAGTCCTCCTCAGAACATCATATCAGCTTAATGATGGACACTAAAAACTGAATTCCTTTGTAACGGGGAAATTAATAAAGACAGATGCAGCAAAAACAAGCTTTGATTTCTGCCAAATTTCACTAGTAGCGTGTGAGACCTTTC